GAGATGTGTCTATGTAAGTTATAAACTTAGCGCACACAGTTCATATCCCTCCTGACGTCAGTACAAGCGACATGCGACTATGTTTTAGTCCGCTGTTTCCGGCACCTACTCTGTATGTAGCGAATATAAGGAACCAATGACCACTGAACTCAAATTAAAGCGACAAGATATGGCTTAAAGCTGGACTGCGAGCTTCCTCAGGCGTCTCAGTATTTCCCTCGGGGTTGTGCACTATAACAGGTCCAGAGTTCAATACCTCACGGTTATCTCAAGTAACGTATTCGTAGTAAGCTCTGTGTTCATATTCAATTACTGACTTTTTAGACATTATCCATCGTCCTATTTTTAGCCGGTTTCCTTATTTTGAAAAAAATAAAAGCAGAATTATAACAGCACCTTGTTTTCTGTGTGTCTATAGCCCCCGCAATTAACTTTTGAATGGCTCAATTTATCTTTATGAAACTTGGTATGTATATCATGGCACGTAAGCCCATCTCAACGGCATACTTTATAAATCCTTCGCATCAGTAATACCAACATATCATGTTTCTGAGGCAAAACCTTAATACTGCTTGAACGCCTGTACCAATCTTCATGAAACTTAGTATGCATATCGTTCCACCTGAGGCCATCTCCACGGCTTACTTAAGATATCCCTCTCATCAGGTGTACCAACACAACAGTCTCTCGAGTTACTGCGATAATACCCTTAGTATTACATGAATTCCTGAATCGATCTTCTTGAAAGTTGGTATGTATGTCATGCCATCTGAGGTCATCTCATCAGTAATACCAACAATGCGTTCTCCAAAACTATATTGTTTTATATACTTCATTACTCATACATATTAACGTTTTCTTTCAACATAATTTTCGTATCAGATACTCAAATTGCGGTGAAAGAAAAGTAGGTGATTAATTCTTCCCAGAACTTTTTGTTTATTTAAAACAACGTTTCGGAGACTGGACTCTGGTCCGGAAATAGGTACTAGCTCCATCGATTATGCCCAACTGAGTAGGTTTTCGCCTGAAGAGGGAGCAAGAATCGTCTCCGAAACGCTGTTTTTAAATAAAAATGACATCCGACAATGCCCAAAAAAGAGTCAAAAAGTACTGATACACCACAGTCAAAGACCTTTAGATCTTAACTTCATATTAACTTTCATACTTGGACTGAGCAGGCTGGCTCAAGTAATGCCTCCAACTTTCACTCGGAAGGTGACCGATTTGAATCTCGACTGAAGACAAAATAGTCTGGGTGAGGCTTTTCGTGGATTTCCTCAGTTCTGCCAAGAAAATGTCGATGGTATGTTAAACCACGCCATGGCCGATTGCCTCACCATTCTTTCCGATTCATTAGGCCTATTAGCTATCATGAAGTCATTCTGGCGCTAGAAGTCTGTGTTACTGCCAGCGTCACTAAACAAACTACAAATAAGAAATCAGTCTTCTGGGATATGGCGCCGTGTAGATAGTGTTAACCGACGTTTCAGAGGAACGTATCGCCTCCATCTTCAGGGTAGAAGAAAAAAGAAAAAATCCGCAAGCGAAAGACCAGCGTGAGCAAGTACCAATAGACTAATGTCGAGAAATCTTACAAACTACAAATAAATAGCAATACTTCGTTGCGATTTTCATCTACTAACCTATTTGTGTTCATAAACCGACCAGATAAATAGCATTCTAGGAAAGAACAGGACATGAGAATAGAGAGATATACCATATTAATATTATAAACATTGTTTTCTAGAAAACAGCACTTAAACAAACGTTATTACCGAGACAGCAACAATTTAAAAAAGATCAAGCAGACAACGTATGACTACACTACACTTCTGTATTAAAATACAAGTAGAGATTTTTTCAATCATCAATTGCCCTACAAGCCCTCTTTTGGGCCCTGGCCTCATCTTCAGTTACGTAATCTTTTTTTTTTTTTTGCACAGACGGTAGGACTCCTTTNAGGACTCCTTGGACGAGTGATCAGCCCGTCGCAATGCCGCTACCTGTACAGAGGACAAAACAAACACAGAATAAACGCACACACAGACATCCGAGTCTTTAGTGGGTTTCGAACCCACGATCCCAGCGTTTTAGCGAGCGAAGACAGTTCATGCTTTAGACCCCTCGGCTACTGTGATCGGCTTAGAAGCAGAGAATCCTGAGTGAAATTTTTCGTGAACATATTCAGTCTTTCCAGTTGAAATCCGGCGAGACATACAGCGCTTGTAACCCCCACAGTCGAAAGAGCGTAAACAACACAAGCACTGAACAGTCCTCTACCATCTTCATCGTAAATCCTGAACCGGTCAGAACAGCGAGGTGAGCTGCAGGGCTGTAGACCGACTTCTCTTTAGCTATTTACATCCTAAACCAATAGCTCATTTCTGAACTTTATCACCTTATGCTCAGGATGGGTTTGATATTTTGAGTTGTAAGAGAAACGAAACCCTTACTGCCTTACTGCAACCTCTCTGTAATTTATTACTGAATATTTCTACCTGTTCAAAGATAAAATTCAGGCGTTACCATCGAAGTAAGGGAAAAAATTCTCACTTTTATCTTCAAGAACTGGGCATTGAAAGCGCAAATAAAAAACACAGACAGAAGACGTACTTTCATATTGAAAATTTTATCTGAGAACCAATTTTCTGCAATATGGATGAGTAGAGTTTGATTTCATTTCAACTGTATATACGGGTATACAAACTTATAAGCCCTTCACTATCCGTCACTAAAGTACAGAAGGCGAGCCAGAAGAATAGACTTCGCTGATGTTGGAGGCGTCTAGGCTATTAACGGATTAAAAGCATTATCTTCGGTAGTTATTTCGCAGAATGTCAACATGTCTGAATTTGATAGGAAAATGTACTCAGAAATAAAAGGTTTCCGTAATTCCAGAACCGAATTTCTTGCCTCTTACAAACAGAACTGCAGCTATGTGTATGTAGGCTTAAGGGCTGCAGAATGCGTAGCCTCTGGGAACGCTAGCTTCCAACGCACTTCTTATAAAACATGCAGACTTATTGTTGTAAACTCGGCTGACAAACCTGCTTTTACACTGTTCTTCGTACTGGTTCTGTATAAATGCAAAATGTTAATGAAGTGTGACCACAAACGTCTGCATTAAAAATAGAACATTTTCTACATAAAGCACATTCTGACAGCGCTGATGAAAATGAAAACCATCCCTTACCATTCTAAGTTCTTCTTTTTTGCACAAAGAATTTATTTCTAGGGTACCGTAAAATTTCTGTTACTGAAAATCACAAACAGTTTTAACTACTGGAATACGGTAAGAGAGGTTCCTTTCAGAGGTCTTACGCAATCTATAAACGCACACTCTCTTATACGAGAGAGGTCAGCACTGCTAACGATATATCGCGTGATTAGCATGGAAATGGTTATGACTACCAAAGAGTGTATGGTGGCCTCTGCTTGAGATCCAGAGCTCTAGCTACAGGGGAAACTCGGCTAATTTAGCAGTACCTAGAACATTATTATACAGCGCGTTTAAACCAATGAAAACAACAACTTGCCTATTGATTTCAGAAAGCGATATAAGGTAAAAAGATGAAGCTATCTCTGAAATGGTCCGTGGAGGCCCAGAGGGCTGTCACACGTCGAGGTTACCACATTTTCTAGACAATCGGCTCACAGACGATAGGTGAGGTTGTCAGCCTTACGCGCCGGCCGCCCTTTAACCCCAGGAAGATTCCTGGCATTCACTTTCAGGGCCATAGTCCGGCTGGAAGGATTAGGTCAACTGAAAAATCCAATGACCTCATCGGGAATCGAACCCACGGCCTTCCAGCTTGTAGCATAGTGCCTCAACCAACTACGCTACAGCGTACCCCCTTCAGAAGGCGATACTTCCTGAAATACAAAATTAAATCGACTCGTTACTAAGCGCACCATGCAGAAATTCGCTGAATAAAAGAAAGTTGGGGCCAATGTTGCAGTTTCCTGTACGTTTTTTAAGGCGGCATGGCAAATGTTTGTATAATTTGATTTGTTTCAATTTGTGTGCATAATTGAACGGAATACGGTACTTTCTTTACCTCACCACACCAATTTCACATTTCTGAATATCAATGGCAATCACTAGGAAGCTTGGGTTTTGAAGTGAGATATTTAACTTTTCAGGTTGAATGCTACTGTCAGAGGCTGCAAAATAACTGCAAGCAAATTCTGCTGAAGTATGCAGTGCGTGACACTAGCGACATACTGTTGCATAACAGCGGCAAAAAGAAAATATTTTCAGAATTACGTGAAAACTACATGATGGAAGAATTTTCGGGGACGGGTGGGCAATGTACAAGACCTCGAAGGAATATAATACTCCACCCCTCCACATTCTTAATGAATGGATGTGGATCTAACCCCCGCTAAAGAAATGCCGACTCTGGAAAGGGGAACGCCTCTTAATGTGACCTCGGAAGATGAGATCAAACTGTTAGCTACGTAACCGAGATGTACTGTTTTGGTATGGGATTTAGTACGCCCGGTGTGAGGGGATAAATTGCTCCGCATTTCAACGTGGCAACGAGCAATATCCTTCAACAATCAGATTTTGTGTGGCTAGTTGTGATGACGAATCAGACTGAAGGACACTGCAGTTTTCAGACAACAATCTTGAAAGCTTCATTATTTATGAGTGACTGAAAACAGCACATATTGATTAAATTTTCCGCGGAATGTTCTACTAGCATTATGGAACTGACAGTATCACTGAGATATTATCTGCATTGTACTATAAATGCTACACCCCCTGCAAACATTTGTTTCTTCATTACTTCTCTGATACAATTGTGCTGATTCCTTGAAATTCTGCATGGTATTATTTTAAAAATTAAGAATTGTGAAAGTGTTCTGCTAATTTATCCTGAGTACTGCACAATTAGCCGTTTCCTCTAACAGAGGCTACTGCAGCTGCAGAATACTGCTGTATTCTTATGGCTCGCCTACTATACAGTGAGTAGATAAAAAGTGCTAAATACCTGTTGCAGCATATGGAGTATGCTTACATTTTCTCCACTGATGACAGTACGCTGACACGATGTTGTGTTATGCGTACACGTGTTCTCGTACACACACCAATTGCACGCCCACTGAGACCTCACGCAGTCCATGCACGTTGTGTGCCTAGCACAATCATAGTACGCGAAGTTACGGCTCACAAAATCCTTATTGGTTTCAGACGAGCGGACAGAAAGTGGGACAAGCACGTGATCCCTTGATTCCGGAATTCCTGGTCGTCCGGCCACTCCAGGGGTCGGACACGATAATCCCAATGCAGTCACAACCGCATCAATGGGATCCGCCTTCCCAAACACGCATCTGTATTTTGCTCCGGAAGGCAGTTCAGGAAGTGTGCGGATTGTTAACTGGACCTGCAAGAACAAACAGAGCGTAATCAGAACCTGCTGCAGAAGGGCGGTCGGCGTCCCTACCCTCCCGTCTTTCTTCTTCACCCTTGCTACAATACGCCAACGCCGCTACTTCCATCTTCACGCTGGGCCACTTCGTTCGCGCATTTCGAAGCCGACTTGGAAAATTCCACTAGCGAAGTGACAGAACAATTCAGATTGCAAGAGATATTTCAATTAGGCCCAATGTTATATACCAACGATATACAAAGCAGAATAGGTTATCAACAAGATTACAGTGGTCTTGAACGTGATGGGGTGTAGTCTTGTAGCTATACGACTATATGTCACATTCCAGACAACCGTAATATTCATATTTTCCGTTATATTCGTCGCTACAATCAGTTTCTCAATTATAATATTCCAGCGCTTCACTCTATCGCTTTCCTGTGGAAATCCGCACTTAGAATGGCCCTTTCCATTGGTTTTATATTAAATTTCAAGTCAATAGTCAAATAAAAAAAAAGTTGCGCTGTATCGCCCACGAAAGTGATTTCATTATTCATTAAAGAAAATCACTGAGAACAAGTGGCCGTCGCTTTTACGGGTTCTTCGGAGTTGTTTAAGAGTTTCTCAATAATTATTACCCAGGCGAACCCTGATAAAATAATTTCATAAATTATATTTTACTATCAAAGAATGCAACACCTACAACTCCCTCCATTTCTCCGGCAGTGAAAGGTTTCATATTCCTTTCTATCTTGATTCTTGGTGCGTCTTAATATTACAGTCATTGAATATATATATTTTGTTACAAATGATGTAAACAGCAGAATCTTTAACATAAAAGAGGGAGAATTCTTCGGTCCGCTTTGAAATACTCCCTTTGACTGCAGTCATGGCAGGTTATAATAACAAGTGCTTCGAAAGTGAGAAGAAATAACACCAATGTAATCGCAGGTAAGTTATTATTTAACGACGCCGTCAGCATCGCAACTTTATAGCGTCGATGGTAGGATTATTGAGTACCGAACAGTCGGCTGAAATCGTACTGCATTCGGTACATAAGCAGCAGCAGCAGCAGAATCGGAACTACTTATAATCCACCGCGCGCCCGCGAGCCCGCGCTTTCGTGAATCTCACTTTGTTTCCAGACCCACAAGCTCTAAAGCAGGGTTTAAGGCCATCTCGACCAACTCTGAGGGCGACCATCATTACAAACTTACTAGATTTTATTTTCAAAACACGATGGGAACCGAAGCAACTGTACCGCAGATCCTGTTGAGCACAGAGGACGTTCCTTCCATAAAGCGCCTGCTCAAGGTACGGTGTACCCCTCGTATACATTTAAAGTTACTCTCACTTTTTATGAATTTGTACATTCACATAAATTTAACCTTTGTTTTGCGAAAGTAAATGAAATTTACATCAGTTGGTTTGTAAATATTACAATTTTTGAGTCTGGGAAAGAGCAATAAAAATTTAATTTATTTTTAAATGCATATTTTTCCATGCATACTCGTAACACTGACTTGAGGGAAGCACTGGGAAGTAAAGGAGGGCCGCGGGTTGCCTATCACAATACTAAAATAGCATTAGTCTATCAAGTATAATGCTACAGGCATACTGAATCACAAGGTTTCATGCATTTTACAAATCGCTGTTTTAGTAATAATAGAGAATAAACATCAGTGGTGTACCCCTTGAGGCAGAAGTCCTGTTGACAGCTGGATGAAACATTCATGAGATATTGGGGGGGGGGGCAACAGATACATATTCAACGGGGGCAGAGATATCTGAAGAAGTGACCACGTACACAATTTCCAGCACGTACAAATGAGACTACAGACTGAAATCTACATTAGAAGGATTACCCGACTGAACCATGCGACTTAATGACGCTGTATCAACCACTGAGATATTTAATGTTACCAGCATTTTCCAACGCGGCGGCCCGGGTTCGATCCTGGGTCTGGTCAAGTGAAATTTGTGGTGGAAAAAATGGCGCTGGGGCAGGTTTTCTCCGAGTACTTCGGTTTCCCCTGCCAATCTCATCCCACCAATTGCTATACAATCACCCTCACCTATCATCTGTGGCTGGTACAATAGGTCAGAAGTAGCCGCAGTACGAGGGATTAGTCCCAACCCACTAGCAACAAAAACAAAAATATTACCAGCATAATGAGAAGTGGGTAATTTCGTGGACTGAGTGGTGAAGCCCAAATTCCCAGAAAGAATGAGAATTCGGTTATCAGATATATTGGATCTCCACATGTTCGTCCAAAGCTCAAATTTATAACCATAAACTTGGGGAGAAAAACAATTAAACCTCTTCCTGGAACCATTTCCTTAAAGACTGTAGTTGAATTACTTATTGCACTTCAAAATAGGAAATTTAATTGCATGTACATGTAAACAGTATCACAAATTAAAGAAAAAGCATTCCTAAATGTTTTTAACATTGCTTTGCAAATGCAAAAATCTAAGAACGCTACTTCGAATCAATAATGTAGACGAACAGAGAGTCAAGTGAACGCACACGCGGTGAAGTACCTGACTTTCGGGATCTTTTGTCCCGGTAACTATTATATGAATTTCGATTAAATTTTCTAGTGAATGTCTCAAATGGCTATTCAATTTCAATCCGCATCAGCGCAAATACAAGTACAGCATTTAAAACTCAAACCTTACTTTATCGGTTCTGCCATGAATATCTCATCGTGCAGAGAATTAGCCAATCACAAAATACAGCAGCAGCAGATGTTTTGCTACACGAAGTGTATGCAACAAAGTATACGCAAACTAAGGCACTCGTCTACCCTACTTACCTTTACCACATCTGGTGATCACTTCTGCATGAAACTAAAACGGAAAGAAAACGGTGTACTGTCATTTTCATTTTAGATAAACGAGCATAAAGAACCATAAGAGCAAATAAAATAGCAAAAAATGAGTTTCCAAAACATACGTACGAAGGAGACTCAGTAAATAGGTCGCAAATGGAAGTAAAACAGCTGTAATGGAAGTAATAGGCTATGTGTATCACTAGGTAGCAGCACAGTCCAGCTTCATAACAGTATGGGTAGCACATGCGCATGTTCACAGGCTGGTTTCAGTAGTCAAAATGGCGATAGTCCTTTATAACAGTAATATCGAAGTGTACCATTCTCTTGTGCTCTCTTTGTGGACAAAAGGACTGAATGAAGAGAATATTCATAAAGAAATGTTTCCTGTTTACGGTGGGAAGTGTTTGTGGCGGCAAGCGGTTACAACTGGGTCGAGAAGACGTTCGAAAGTCGCAGATGTTGCCCGACCATGTCACCCTCTTGTGATTCCGACAGAAGCAACTGTGTAGAAGGTGGAAGACTTGATTCGAGCATAGAAAGAGTAGTCACTGCACTAGGGTGTTCCCATGGTTTAGTGTACAGCATAATTGATGATTGCTTGAAGTTTCGGAAAGTGTACACACGGTGGGTGCCTAAGATAACTTAAGGATCGAGAAGAAATTAACCGAAAGGGTCTGTCCTTCATCCGCATTCCCTTACGGAATCAAGGCGTGCTTCAGTGCAATGGAAACATCTCAGTTCACCTTCAGCAAAAAGCTCGAAGTTTAAGGTTACGACACCAGATGGGACAGTTATGCTTACAGTGTGTTGAGATTCTCAGGAGTACTGTTAGCCAATTTTCAGAAGCGCGGTGAAAATGTGAATTCTGCATCTTACTGTGAAGTTCTGTTAAAACTTCGAGATGCAATTCGCAGAAAACATTCAGACCAACTGGCAAGGGGGGTACTGCTTCATCAAGACAATGTCAGACCCCGTATGGTCCGAGCAACACAGGAGAGAACTGAAGAACTGCAGTGGGAACTTCTTGAACATCTGCCTTACAGCCAGGACGTGGCCCCTAGTGACTTCCATCTGTTTGGCCCGCTGAAAGAAGTCATCTTGGTGGCAAACGTTTCGCTGATGACGAAAGGGTTGAAATGGAGGTGCGAAAGTAGCTGAAACAGCAGTCAAAAGACTTCTACACTGCGGGTTTCGACGCAATGATAAAGCAATGGGACATGGGCATCAATGTTGGCGGAGGATATGTCGAGAAATAAATGTTTTCCAGGTTCTAGTATCACATATTTTATGTTGTATATCCATCTGTGACCTATTTAATCAACCTCCCTCATAATTTACTGGCTACGGGTTGGACGGCCCAGGGGCCGGAGTTCGAGTCCCAGTAGAAGCAAGATTTTCCTCCTCTCCACGTCGTCCAGACCGGTTCCAGGGCCCACCCAACATCGTATCCAAAGGGTACCGGGAGCTCTTTCCCCAGAAGTAAAGCGGTCACGGCGTGAAGCTAACAACTCAACTCCAAGTAGTACCGCGATCAAGAATAAGTGGATCTACACATCTATAGTGCTTAATTACTTATGAACAGGGACAACTTTTACGCAGTTTGTTTGGGTATAAAAATTCTCTTTTGTATTCTTCTCAACACTGAATTGGCTTTAAATAAAACAAGAATTTCTTTGGTAATGATATATCCTCCCGGTCAAAGATTCTAAGGGCAATGTGGATGTGAACAGACTCGTCTACCTTAGTAGGGCTTGCTTGAGGAACCACAGGGAAACAGTGATACACCCGTCCCGAGGGCGCTGTAATGGTAAATATGGCTCGCAGGGCTATCTCACAGGGCACTTCATCCCCTGGCCACTCATGTTATTCTGCATTATAGATACAGCCCTCGTATCTCTTGACTGGCATACGTGGGAGGTAAATGAGATGCAATTGTGTTTATACACACCCTCCAGGAAAATGATGAAAACACAAATGAAATCAGTGAAGCAATTGGATTCGATTGTTCCATTCACTGTATATTATTACTCAGAAGTTAAAATTTAAACAAGGGGAACATAACTGCTGATTCCACAAGTTCGATCCATGACTGTGGCGTCGGATTTAAAAATAAAGTTAATTAACTGTGCCATGGATATTGGGGCGTTCATTTTCCACTCCTGATCAATGCAAAAGGGA